GGGTATAGCGGGGGCCCTCTCTGATGTGATGTCGGCTCATTTTCTCCACGGCAGCTCAGGCACGACTTGGTGTCGGCTCCAAATGGCCCCCGCCGCAGCTCGATGTCTGATTTCGGTGCGTTTTTGACCCCGTGGTTCAACGCGAACGCTGCCGGAGCGAAGAGATGGAGTGTAGATGCCGCCGCCGCTGAACACTGACTCGCATGCACACATGCAGAAAGCCGAGTGTGCACACACACACACTCATGCCTGCACAATCACAATCTCTGCTGGGTCAGCCAGGTTCAAAGCATTTGTATTCATAGGAGGTTTTGCATTTGCTCCACCATCTACAGTGGTCCTCGACTGTGGGATGTGGTTTTTTTACTTGCACACTCTGCCACTTTTGTCAAGTTTAAGTCTCTATTCTGTCCTGCCACATTTGGTCTATTTTAAATGAAGCAGAGTTCACTTCCACTGTTGTTTCGGATCCTTTGTGATGGTTTCACTACACTTCAGTGGACTCTGGTCCAGACCAAACAACCTAACAGAGACCCTTCTTTTGTCATGGTTTTGGTTCTGTTTAGGTTTTCTTTTTGAGTTTTCTGTTTGACTTTGATCCATTTTTTCCTTTGTTTTCTAGTTTTATTGGTTTTAATTCCTATTTTGTCGTGTTTTCTGGATGTATTTGAGTTCTTAGGTATTTCTTGTTTGCCCTCTTATGTTGGTGTCCTTTTCCCTAGCTCCCTTCTAGACCCCTCTGTTCACATCTGCTCCCAATCTGCTGATTAGCCTAGTCTTCATTTCTCTCTCTCATATTTGCACCGCTAACTCGGTCACTGTTGCTGGTTTGTCGTCATTTCTTTGCCCCCTTCTTATTGTCAGTATTCCTGCTTTTCAGTAGTTTGGAAATTTGTGAAATTATGATTTCGGATCTTTGCTTCTATTACCCTTTTTGGTTAATTAAATCTAGCAAGAAACTCCCTCAGCTTTAGTCTCTGCATTTGGGTCCTGTCAAACCTTAAATCCATTGTGACTTTTTTTAAGGTGATTGTAGTGTGGGGGATATGGTGTGTCCAAGGTTGTCACAGAGCCAGTTAAATATAACAAACAGCATTTCATATATTTATCAGGGCAACAAGAAATATCTAAGAACTAAAATACAATAAAAAATAACTAGAACACAATAATTGAAATAAGACCAATGAAAACTCAACGACAAAACTTGAACAGAACCAAAACTATGACAATCTCGACAGCCCTCAGCTTGCTCCTCACTTGATGAATTTCCACAGAGTGGGAGAATCTTCTTTGGGCTATAGGGTTAAGTGCAGGCACCTGGGGTGGCATCTCCTCAATGTGGGGAAAGAAGAAGGTCAGAGGTTGGCAGAACTTGAGTTTCATTGTCTTGTCTTCGATCCTCCTCCCTTTTCTTACTTGGCCGTAGAAACCCTCTTTGTCTGTCCTGAAGGTGTTTTCTCTCTCTCTTATCTGCTGCTGGACATCCAAAACCAATAAAATGACAAAATCAAAACTGGTCAAGAGTAGGACATAGTTGAGTTGAGGAACAGTTTAGATTGGAGAGGTAGGTGAGTTAGCGATGTTTGGGAAGGAATCCAGCAGTTTGAAACAGGAAACAAACCACAGAAGCAATTAGGAGATTTTTTGCATCTTAAGAGGATTTCTTCCCAGAACCTACCCCTCTAAACCTTGGAAGTCCTGATAACTAACAACCATCAACAGCGCAAAAAACACTTAAGTTTCAATCTCATGGGTTTATATGGAACCTATTAGAACAAACCTTTATCTCAAGACATATGATACTAAGTCACATTTTAGTATTTGTTTGTATGCAAGTGCACCAAAATTCAATTTAAAGTGATCCATCTATACAAGCAACACATGCTTTTTCCTTTAAATGTACAGAGGACGATCTTTTATTTCCGGGTGCATCATCTAAATAAGTCCTCCTAATTGACAATAATTCTGATAATATGTTTACATCAGGCCATCCTACATGCTCGTCCTGTTAGCTAAATATTTATGTGCATGCGCACCTTCAGGCATATACTGTATATGTGGTGAGTTACGGTTTCAGACAGTCACTGAAGCTCATTCTTCTCATCGCAGTTCTTTGAAAAAGGCAGATGGTTGTAAGATAAAATGTGTCTTCAAAGTGTTTGAGAAGAAAAGAAAGGCCTCTGAAGAGTCAGACATATCCCGGAATACTTTGTGCGGAGAACTGTCCTTGCGAGCCATTATGGGACTTGCTGTTAGAGCCGCCTGCTGTCGCTATAGGCTGTCGCTACCCGACAGCAGCGACTAATAAAAGGGCACAAAAGCGCATGTACTTCCTGCAGAGGATGAGGAGAACCCACCTGCCCCACCCATCCTCACCACCTTCTGCAGAAGCACCAAAGAGAGCATTCTGACCAGCTGTCTCCCTGTGTGCTGTGGAGGCTGCAGCGCCTCAGACTGGAAGAAGGTGAGAAGAGCAGTAAGAACAGCACAGAAAATCATCAGGGCTTCTCTTCCCTCCATTAAAGACATTTCATTCCAGCGCTGCGTGTCCCGAGCCCGTAACATCATCAATGACCCTTCATCTTTACATTAGATCACCATGTTTACTTTTTATCACTGCAGCAGTTTAAGAAATGGAAATGTCTTGAGAGCTATACTGAATGAAATTTTGCTTTGTTTACACCCTGTGTGTTTCAATCAGTGAAACAAGATTGTGACAGAATCAACCTATACTGTTGATGTATGCATGTAGCCAAATGCTTGGTCATCCATAAAGGAAACTTTTTAAAAACCACAAACAACTTCCAGTGAGATAACGACTCTACTGGTGTGTTCACACCAAGTGCAAACTTGGCAACGTTTTTGCCAAGTTTCAGATGCACATTGAATCTGAACGTAATCTGAATGGTGGAGCTGTGGTTATAGTGTAGAGGTTTATGGTTGTCTTAGCAGGGCTTCCTGCTTAATTGATCTGTTTATTCACCCTCACACTAGTCTTCCTTACTGGTCTTACCTGTGGTTCTTACATTTAATATTTTATTATTATTGGTGGGTTCTTTTACTACAATGAGAAAGTGGTGATATTAAACAAATATTAACCAATATATATATATATAGATATATATATATATATATATATATATATATATATATATATATATATATATATATATATGCACCAGCCGACAGTGTTCTATGCTGGGATAACATGGGATAACAAAGTTCGTGTTCTGTGTGAACATACCTTAAGGATAGAGCAATAGCAACAATAAAATGCATTGGATTAAACCTATTAATTTATGGAAAACAAATTTGTCAAATATTACTATAAAGTATTTATTGAAATACAAACATGGAAGTTTATGGTTTGAAATTGTGGCGGAGTGCAAGGGTGTTATGTTTGGTAACTTTGCTACTATTGTTTACATAGTAAACAATACTTTTCGAACATGATGGTATGTACATGTTTCTTCTTTTTTGTTTTGTTTTGTTATAACTTTATTAATTTACTTATATTTGCTTTTTATTAAGTGTTCGAAATAAATGATCAACAACATAACATTTATTTTAGCATGCAAAATAAATTACTTCAGCCAACCTAACACCAGTTACAAATGTACAGATGTTGAAGAGGACAAGAAAATTGTCGAGTTCAAGTCTGCAAAGTAACATGCTAGTCTGGCTTGGCGTATCTTAGCATGGCACACCAGGGCAGGCTCCAGCGAGGCTGAGCCCACCCTGGGCTCCATCCTGCCTGAGCTCCACGCAATCAGGCCGTGACAGCGAAACCTTCCTCCGGTTACCATGGCAACCAGAGGAAGTGCCTGTATGGGACAAAGGCAGGTCGGCCCTGTGTGTGTGTGTGTGTGTGTTTGTCTGTGATTGAGAGACAGAAAGTGAGTGATGTGCAGCAGAGCCGGCGCGGCCCTCCTGGGGTCCTCATTCGTTTGTCTCTCGCTGAGACCACAGGAGCCCTGCTGCAGCAGAGATGGAGGTGGTTGGAGTGACGGGAGGTTGAGGCGGGCGTAGGGGGGGCAAGCTAGAGAAAGGCAACTGATGTGGAAAGAAAGGTGGATGAAAAGATGTGAGAAAGGTGCTGGGAGAACAAATAATAAACCGAAAAGAATGACATGAATAAGGTTGAATTTGGATCATTCGAAGCCCTTTGTTCATTCACTCATCTAACAGTCGTGCAGAATATGACATAAATCTTGACAAAACTCTACTTTGAAAAAGAAAAAAATGCAGCACACTTTGGCAAATTAATTGCACCAATTAGTGGGGCCCTCAAAATTTGAATAACCTGTCTACCACATAGGAAGCTGAAATGGCTTGAAACTGCTTCCCTCATGGCATCAAAGGATGCAGTAACAGGACCAGTGCACTTAGGCATCACTTAATGAAGACAACATGGAAAAAATGGCATGGATCTAAATGGGTCTCACTTCCTGCACAAGTAGACTGAACTAGTTGATAAAAAATGAAAATGTCATCCTCTCTTCTTTATCTTTGATTTAATTCTTGTTAACATTAGGTGGGCACCCCTTTTGCCCTGTAGACACTTTTACTGGATTGTAACCTTGTACTGTCTCATACAGTCAGCTAGTTTACAGCAAAAGCATTGATTCACTTTTGTTTTGGAAAGAAAATCATCACATGTGGCAGTTATCTGATGCAATCAAGAAAGGAGTCACTTCTTCATATCATTCATCATTGAAAATATCTTTCAGCCTTGATTATTTAAAAATATTACAGGTTTTTTTCATGTTTAGAGTCCAACAAAAGATGCATTATCTACCAAACAGAAATGTGTAATTAAGACACATTTAGACTGTTTTACAGAACTATCAGTGATGTTATCTGTTCTCTGTGGTTTTGATTATGTCTGTTATGGGCAAAAAGGACAGAAAATAAAAGGAAAGAATTAAAGGGGCAATGAAAAGAAAGTGTGGCCTTGGAAAATGTTTGTAATATACATTATTCTTGTTTTCCTTATTTAGGTGTGGATCATACAAACTTGGACTTGAAGAAAAACTTTGTGAGTAAACAAAAATAACACTTCTTTAGTTTTTCTTTGAAGCAAATCATGGAGAGTATGTTGGGCAAACTGTGCTGATCAGAAGTTTACATCCACTCATCATTTACAAGATCCTGGAATAATTCTGTCTGGATGTGTTTCCTTTTTTCCTGTCTGGAATGAATTCTAATAAGTTGGTTTTCTGGCACTAAAATCAGTGTGTTCATTTAAGGTGAATGTCAGCCTGGTGTCCCTTTGTAAACAGTTTTGATGAGTTAAGATCGTTACCCTGTCAGAACACCAAACTATGTCCAAGATTTAATCCATCTAATGGGAGCATCAAATGGTTTAAAACTGTTGATTTATTCAGCCACAGTTACAAGACATTTGGTCGAAGGAGTCAAGGCTAGTTGAATACTCTGTTTCAGCAGAAACTTATTCTATAGCAGGTAAAGAAAATCCTCAACCGTTAAAGGTCCAGAGACATTTTTAATTACAATCTATTACTTTAAACAGGCAGTCGTTTATGCTTCCATGTTAAACATTGATTTATTAAATAAAAAATAAAAAAAAATAGAAAGTTTATCCATTTCAAAATCTAAATTGTTTTTCAAGTAGAGAACAACAATCTTTCAGTTTGGTATAAAGACAATTTATTGACTCACCTTTTTTTAATAAAACAACTAAACTGACGTTTTTTTTTTCCTTTTCTTTCTTTTTTCTGTCTTAATGTTCGCAGTGGGCTTTATGCTGCCCTGCAAGGCTTTAAACCTGGGTTTGAATGGAGACAAAGCCATTCTAAAGCACATATCAAGGTGCCATTTTGAGCCTGGATCCATATTTATTTTGATTCTGTTCATGGTGGAGAATCCTGCTTCACAGCAGCAGGTTGAGCCAAATATGCTCAAAATGTGCAGGGTTCTATGTTCTATAGGTTTACTACTGAACATTTTGGGCAATATTTCTTGTGTAAATTTTAGCCCTCATGTTTCTTCCATGTTTAAAGATTTTTTTTTATTAAGGCACATTAAAAATATAAAGAAATCATTCAAATCCCCATTTTTTCCATAGACTGATGCATGTGGCCTCAAGCTCAGCCACAATATATAACTATTAACCCTCGGTTGGACTGGATGTGGAAGCGGCTTTTCAGCTGATCGCAGCAGCTCTAGTTAGTCAGAGTGGTTACACCTGGGTTTATCCCATTATATTTCAGAAACACTCCAGGTGCGATCTGTGCTGTCCTTTTTCTGATGCTTATGGTATCAACTCCACCACAGTCTAGAACAGAGTGAATGGAGGGTCGATGAAAAGCAAAGTGGATCTGGTCAAGTTTACATGTAAAAACTACAAGAGAAACCTTTAGATAGTATTTTCTGGACTTTTATGTAATAAATAATCCTGTTCATGCAGTTAAACTATTAACTGTGCAACCCCGTCTGCGGTGCCTCCAAATATGCAGCCTCATTCTGCCACAATAAAGCTACTCTCTGTCATTACAATGGTTGGATATGGCAGGTTAGACACTCCCAATGGCTAAAGAGCAGCAGCTGATTACCTTTATACTTTTAAGCCACTTTGATATAGTAATTTTGGTTTGACTAGTTAAAAGGTGTTAAATGCATTAAACGAAAGGAACCAAAAAGCTAAAAATATAAACTCTCTTCCCCATGAAAGATCCAAAGAATTACTGATCACTTTACTGGTTTAACTTTTTTATATAAAGCCTAGAGGTACACTACTATAGCAGGATGCAATCGGGATGCGATAAGTGCTCCCATGCAAATCGCAACCACATCCAGGGGTGATTGTCCTTTTTTTCTCCACAATTTCAACATCGTATTATCCCTGATTTATCCAATCACCTTTTGGAAAGGTTTTCGTATCATTTTATAGTTTATAGATGAGTTAAAGCAGGTCTTCAACAGGGGGTCCGCGACCCCTAGGGGTCCACAGAGATACTGTAAGATAGTGACGAAAGTTTTGGTTGATTACTTTTTTTATATTCCCCCCTCAATTTTTTGCACTAATTGAAATGTATTTAAATCCACATGAACATGAATTCAACAGACTGTAGTAAACAGATAAATGGAGGCAGAAGATGTCTTTCAGTCATCAATGCACACATTCAGCGACACACAGGAGCTCTTTCAAGCTGGGCACCATTTCATTTAAAACACCTCTCCCATCAACCAGGAATCAGAATCAGAAATACTTTAATAATCCCAGGGAGAAATTGCCTTCGTTGCATTACTCCATCTGTAATAGAGTGACTTTAGGACCAGTTTGATAGAACACAATTTCATACAAAATATATATTTAAGGGGTTGCCGTTCCATCTCGCCATCAGTTTGGGGGTCCTTTCCCTGGAAAACATTGAAGTCCCATGAGTTAAAGGTTGCAGCATTTCTGAATCCAACATTTCAACAACCAGTCTCATAGATGATGGTGCCGGCTGTTATCCTGGCGAATAATAAAACATATGTGTCGTCCTACGTTTTTTTCTCCTGCTGTAGCATTTATAACCTTATAGGCAGTTGGACGCACAACGGCCATCTTGTACTTTGAGAGAGCAGATTGTCTGGCATGGATTAGCCATGTAGTCTTGTTGCAGCGAAACACACACATAAGTGCTTCTTAGGCAAACACATAAACCACACTGGTGGAGACAGTGTTTGTCGTCAGTCGAAAGGAAATATGTTGACAGAATAATACAAGTGTGAGCTAGTATCAGGAGTTTTCCTTCATTGCCTGTCATATCGTTCTGATGTTTCATGTTGAGAGATGCTCTGTCCTGCACTGCGCTTATTTGTTTTCTGCCTGGCTTCCACAGGAGGCCCTCGCCAGCTATGACCTGCGTGCCTCTCATGGTCTGTCTCATGATCCGATGCCTGTCAGAGATGAGGAGAACAGGTACTGATTGTCATTCTCGTTTTCTTAGTCACTTAGGCAGTCTTATTAAAGAAAAAAATAAAAGGGGTCCTTACATTTAGATTTTAAAAAATGACACCAAACAGGAAAACTAGTCTACTTTAGAGACAGAAGGCTTTTAAATATAACTTATGATGCTCTCATGTTACAAATGAATTCTGTACCTTAATGTATTTTCTGTGCATAATGGTCATTTTTGCCAACTTCGGGCCTTTTCCATATTTCTTTTCCCAATACTGAGGCATTATTGACCACTTATTGTATTAAAATATTGTGGAGAATGTCTTTTTTTCCATATTCTTAATTAGATTAAGGTCTGACAACAAGATATACTCTACATTCCCACCACAGCCTCAAGTCTATTTCAGCCTCTAAACGTTCTCTGGTTTCAACGTTGATCTGTATTAAACCCCATCTGTCTTTTAATGTCCAGCTTCCTTGTTGCTGCTGTTTAAGAAAAGTTTTTAGGTGTGTTCAGGTTTTTGTGAAATGGTAGTTTTCCAACTTGTAAGTCTGGTTGATTGGTCTTGGTCCTGCATAACCATTCTTCATAATTCTTCCACATATGTGCTGTGGCCCTGAGTTTGTGGCAAACAGGACTTTATTTATAATTATTTCAGTTGTGGGTTTCCTCTTGCCTCTTTTCTATGGAGCTAAAGCGGTCTCAATTTTCACAAATACACATATGTGATTCATACATGCACAGTACAAGCTCCACACATACACAGCACGATTCACGCAAGCATACAAGATTCACCAAAAGTATTTCTGGTCCATAAACAATTATAAATTATATTACAATTCCTGTCAGGAGAGTCTAAAAAAATCCTGACACAAATGCAGTGAAGTTTAAAGACCACTGGTACTTTGTAATTTAATTTATAATTGTTTATGGACCAGAAATACTTTGGCGACTCATGTGCTGTGCATGTTTGAATCATGTGTGCTTGCGTGAATCGTGCTGTGTGGGTGGGGAGCTTGTCCTGTGCATGTAAGAATCACATATGTGAATTGGTGAAATTTGAGACCGAGCTACATACTTTTCTATACTTTTCATACTTTTCCATACTTTTCAAAATTATTAGAACATTATGACATTGTTTGTTTACTAATGTTGTATAACAGAACTTTATAATCTTGACAATGCAGCTGAATTTATATTGAGAATAAATTACTTAATCACTCAAGTGATCTCTTAGAGCTGTTCTACCGGACCTTATTTATGGGTATCAGAGTCACACCTTGACGATTTAGCCAGTGTATACCGATGTCTCAGAATTTTCTAACAAGTTTGCATATGCTGAACTTTATATATATTTTCTCAATTTTAGGCGTATACATAGCGTATTCCTAACGAGTCTAGAACTTATGTCCAACGATAGCCTAACTTATGCATAACGCACGGCAGTGTAATGCCCATGAAATGTCACAAACCAGTGTCCCGAGGGGGGCAGCAATGCGCCCAGAGGCTCCCGGCCTGCATAAAGAGCAGAAGAGGAAGATTTTTCTAAGGAGTTCAACCATCAACTAATAATACATGCCATGGATCGCCTCCCGATCCATGATCTGACCCAATCCCTTCGCTGCTGTTGATCTCTTCTTCTTTTGGCTCTATTAGCGCACAACTAAAACGGAGTGAAATAGATGAGATCATGTTGATGTTGGAGGACAGCTAGTATCTATTCCCATCTCAGCCTTGTTGGATCCACCATCTCTTGTGGAACATCTGTTTACCATGAAGTCTGGAGGAGAACAGACTGTTTCCTCCTGTGAACCCTGTTTTATAGCAAAACGCTGCCAATATGCCATTATACAGAAGCTGTAGGTTTAAAGCATGTTCAGCGGTTGTCTGAAACACTTCAAATGTACTTTAATATGCCAATATGCATTGGAGATAAGTCCTTGATAACGCATAAGTTATGCTCAAGTTACTCATAGGTTTTCGAAAAGATGGACACTAGGGGTGTGGAATAAAATCATTTTGGCAATATATCGCGATTTTTGGCTGCCTGATATGATATCAATCTTTTAGTTCCTAGTATTGATTTTTTTAAAGGAACATTTTTTTACCTAAAACTGAGGGAAAATGGGCTACCTTTGTACCACCACTCTGGCAGATGGCGCTGTGGCGCCCTTTTGCTATGCGGTGCTGCATATTATTTATAGTTGAGGCGTTCACAGTGGAAGACATGGACTCGCTTAAACCCCAAACAACATGGATACCAAAATAACTGAACCATCGATTTCATCTGATGAACATAAACAGAGGTTGTTTTTTTATCTATGCATGTAATTTTGATAGCAGGAAAAAAAATCGCAATATATGGTTATAATGCAATAAAGTGATAATATCGTATTGTGACCCGAGTATCGTGACAAGCATCGTATCGCAACACCCATGCCAATACTCACCCCTAATGGACACCACGACTTATGAGTTACTTACACTTAACATGTGTCAATCATCAAATAACTTACCTGTAACTTATGACCCACTTATGAGCATAAGCTGGCATATGCTTGACGTACTTGCCGTATGTTTACATGTGCCAGTGTGCTTCAGCATACTTCAGCATGCTCATAGCTTTATAAAACTTACCCATAACCTATTCAGCATATGCCAGCGTTTTTGCCAAATTTTTCATACATCAGGCATACGCTGTATAAATTGCCAGGGTGTGACAGCACCATAAAGGGTAACACATACCAAAACAAAAGTACACTTTTCAGATTCTAAGAACAAAGAAACATTAGTCATTTCTCTGTCACTTTAAAATAAGCCCATATTTTGCTTTGGTTTGATACATGAAATTTCCCCACAATACATTCGTCATTATGGTTATAATTTGGCAAAATGCAGACGATGTTCGAGAGGGTAAAATGCTTTTGCATTCGATAACCACATTATACATGAGTTCAAAACTTAGTCCAACAGAAAGCTTTTCTATGATTAAGAGGAATCATTGATAATACCTTAAATATCCTTGCAACTCCTCTGATCTGAACCAGTAAGAATGTACCACGTGTAATTATTTGTCCTGGCACAGTTATTATACAGGCTCAGATCAGAACATCCAATGAAGCAGAAAATTCTCATCTCTGCCTATTTAGTCTCAGTATGTGGCTAACGTCTCAGTCCCGCTCTGTTTCAGTCACGGTACCCGTTGCGCAGGAGAAATCGCCATGGAGGCCAACAACTCCTACTGTGGTGTGGGCATCGCCTTCAATGCCAGGATAGGAGGTAAGGAAACCAGTCCAGCTTTAGGAGACGAGGGTAGGCAGTTCACTGTGGGCGCACTCTTCCTGCCAAGAAAATGACATGGCAGAAAAATCTTTATTACGGTCATTATGTTCCAGCGATGATCTGTTATTATTGCTGGTATATAATGAAAGTGCTTTTGAATTCAACATATACTTTTGGTTAAGAGTACACTGGAAAAATTATCTAGCAATAAGTAAAAATTTCTTAAATTAACTGTATTTACCCTTAATTTGAGTAGTTAAATGAGATGATGTGCTAATGGAATGAATATTTTTACTAATTCCGAGCAAATTATCTACAAGACACAGTAGATATTACAAACAGTAAAAGCTTTGATATTTTCACCTTATAAGAATTAAATCTTGATCATTTATGAATTGTATTACCATCATTAAAAAAAAAATAAAAAAAAGGGAGATAACTCACAGAGAAGGTAAACAGATTTAGAATGTATTCTATTCTTTTTATGCTAACAACTTTTTTATTGATTGTTAAAAAGTAAAAAGAAAAATTGTCATGGCATGTTTTTTTATGAAATATAATCTCAAAGATTATTTAGATAAAAAAATATATATATATTTGATAAATAGCTATACTTTTTTAACATTGTTTTATCATCTAATATATAATTATCTTATTTTCTATTGAAAAAAATATTTATTTCAATGAAAACAGTTGTTTCATTATTAATCTATTATTAATTTGTTATTATAAATTAAAGGCACACTATGCAACATTTTTCAGTTAATTAATGTGTTCCATAACGTTTTGGATGATTAAATGAGTCATTTCAGGTTGAACAAAGGTATTCTCGGCCGCCCTGGTGGTCTGTGGGGGAAATACCGCACTTGCAATTGCAGGAGCACCGACCCGCACCCACAGGCTCAGAAGTCGCGCGAGAGTCGGTCTTGCTTTACGGCGAGAACTGCTACACCCACCAGTTAAAGCATGCTCGTTGCTAGCACAGTGGCAATCTTTGTGCAGTGCTGCTTTCACACCGGACGCAGCAAAATCGCGTCTGCTGCTTCATTTTTACTGCTTGTACCAGTTAGTTCTGACGCGTGGCTGAAGCAGCTTTGCTGCTCTGGCTGCGCGGTGCAAAAGTGTGTATGACGAGCGTTGATTCACTATCCTTTCTCTGCCTTGCAGCTATATTTGCTGTGATCAGTGGGAATAAAGTAGTTTTAATATGTTTTTAAGTGAGAAAATACACCTGAAAACGTAATCAGTGCAGTCAGTTCATTCAGATTATCATCCTGCCTTACAATATTTTTTCTGTCGGAGCCGCTCAGACCCCCACATACCAGCGGTGCGCTGTCAGTAGGAATCCCTTCATCAGCAGCCTCTGGCCGGGTCGCCTCCTCGCGGTTCACCGCGGCAGCTGGTAGGTGTTTTTCATCTAAATAATCCAAACTGCAGGCAGCAGGATAATAAAAGCCAACATATTCTGCCGGCAGATTTCTGCATTTTAAGTTAATTTAGGCGTCAATAAACTGTTTAAGAGGAGTGATCATCAGCGCTGTGTCTCTCTCCCTGCCAGCTCCCAGATCAGCTTCTCTGATTGGTTGACGCGGCTCGTCGAGCAGCAAAAATTAAATTTTTCCATCTCGAGCAGCAGCGCGTTTGCGGCGCGTCAGATGCTTAGTCATTCGTTGCGTTCGCCTGTCTGCTAAGCTCAAAACAACCGCGCCTGGCTTGACGGAGAAACCAGGAGAACAGCTGTGCATATTTACGACAGTGCACTTTTACTTTCGCCCTCTGGGGGGAGCCTCGCTGGAAAATCAACACCGGTTGCATAGTGTACCTTTAATCTATGAAATTTTTTTGGCTTAAATTAATATATTCAGTTCTTTATTAATTGCACATCTAAATTAAATCCTGCTGTAAGCATTCAAGGGTTTTAATTACTGAATTGCTGTTGATAAGGAACAATCTTCTGTAGAGGTCTGTCTTCCAGCTGATCTGGAGAAGCCTCTGATTGAAGCCACTCTGTTGCTGTGTTTTATTAAGTATTTGGGTCATGATTTTATCTAGTGCTCTGATCCACATGCAGAAGACCAAACAGAGAGATCAGGGAAAAGTTTAACAGGTTTATTTGGAATGATGAGATGATGAGATGAGATGACACTGTCAAACCGGAACTGGAAAGTGAGGGGAAGACACTGCGGTTAGTTCAGGCTCAGTGGGAAATTAGATTCTTTGACTTGAAGAGGAGGAATAGGTTGCAGACTCACGTTTCCAGAAAAATCCAGTCGGTGTGGGATGTTCCAGTGAATGTCTTGTTCGATGGACGGACAGGGTTTACCCAGATTACGGTTGTTCCTTGGTGAACGGAGAAGCTGACTGCCACTTAGATTTCCTGCGATACTTGAACGGGTTATTGTGGAGATGATACTTGAGGGAAATGGTTGATCCAAACCACAAACTTAAATCCTCAGCTCTGTTTGGTTCTCAGAAGATCCTTCCAGGGGAGAGAAGGTCCGAAACATCAGGGTTGCAGGATGACTTCCGGACGAGAGGCAAAGACAAAAAAACAAGATTAAAACTCAGGTAGACAAAAACTCAGTTTGACTCAGCAAAACTCAGCTTGGCTAAAGTACCCAAAAACTGGCAAACACTCTGCCGTCGAGGTAGTGGCAGTCAGCAGCTTAAGAGTGCTCCGTTAATGAGGTAACCATCCGCAGGTGTGTGAGGAGGCCAACCAGAACCAGGCGCCGCCTGGTGGAGGAATGAAGACAAACACAAACAACACAGACTGGATTCTTAACAATTTGAAGTTGTAAAATCATCTCCATAGATTTTAGATTTCCCAGAACAGATAAAGTCTCATTTATCTGTTTTTTTATAGTGATAATAGCATTATTTTTCTAACATATTTAAGGGATAAATAAAATAAATACACAATTGAAACAAATTTTCTTCTTGATATACATGTGATATATGATATACAAAACCTATTAAATTCCGTGTTGCTTGTTGTTAAGAAAATGTGTGTTGATGTTAGGAAATAACCCCTTATATCCGACATCTCAAATCTAATTTAGTCTAGATACTCTGTCAAAATGAAAACAGAAAATGAGACACGTCCCTCGGCTAACCTCTGATTTTTGATCTCTGAACTTAGATCTTTTCATCCATGAGCTTCAATCATTTGTTCCTAAAAGTACGTTCCAGTACCCAGAAAAAAGAAAAACACTTCATGAGGCGAGACCAGGAATGTGTTTCTACAGTTAGTCCTAATTTTACCTTGTTGGGTCATAAACAGAGTCTGGTACAGAGGAGATGAAGGGGCAAAGACCTGCATGAAAAATGCATGTTGAACTGCTTGGTGGTTTTGAAAGCAGGGCCATACGGTCTGACATTCAGCAAAGTTTTTTCCTCATTTTTTCCTCTGTGAAATTATTTAGAATTACCTTATAAAAATGTTTGGTCTTTTCATTTCTTCCACTGCGGTTATTATATGCCTGTGATAATCCAAAGTTATGTTTCTGGCACACATACCATTTGAAATTGTAACCCAGATGTTTAGATTTGTTTTTTATTAGAGTATACCACCTTCTGCTGAGGTCATTATACATCAAATTTAGCCACATGGATTCAGAATAGGCTGCCAGCGAGTTAGATTTGTATATATACTGTAAACAAAAATTATTCAGTACTTTTGGCAGCAAAGCGGGCAACATTAAAATCGGAATATCTGAAATTATTTCTTTTCAAAAAAATGTTTTTTTTTAAAAAAGGTTACGCACATTTAGTCCTCCACTGTGTGTAAATAAATCATAAAATAAAGTAAAATAAAGTAAATAAATCCTATAGCTTGCTCTCGTCTTTGTTCCTCTCAAGAACTAATGTTTCTGGATTAACCACGTGCTAACCTGGTCGGACTGTGTCAACACATTAACACGCAGCCAGAAAAAGAGTAAAACAAAACAAAGCTTTGGTTGGATTTCCTGCCAGTTCCAATGGAAGTACACTGAAAAAATGAAATAGATGCTGTGAGGTTACCTTCAGTAAAAGGGAAATATGAAAAAGGCAAATAACCAGCTTTATAAATCCCAAAACATCTTTTTTCTTTGCCGTCTTGATGTGCTGGAGCACTCGTCTCCATGTTCAGCCTTTAATTGGATGCTGTGTCGCTGTTTCTCAGGGAATATCTTCCTGTTTATCCTAATTATAAAATAAATCAATAAAAGACACTTATAGTTACATAAATATTTAGTTAGAAATGTAAGAATTTGGTCGAATTAATTTTTTTACCTCTTAACGACCCTTTAAAGCTAATTTATTGTTGAGGTTCGATTTCATTCATTGTCCTAAAAAAAAAAAAAAAAAAAAACTTTTATTTTGCCATTTCCACTAGCTGGCCTCAAAATCCTGATCTGTGTGACCTGCTTTGTTTTGTACAGGCATCCGTTTGCTGGATGGCACTGTCACAGATGCCATGGAGGCCTCAGCTCTGACCTATAACATGCACTTCATCGACATCTACGTCTGCAGTTGGGGCCCACGAGACAACGGGGCCGAGATGGACGGGCCGCACCGCCTGACAGCGCAAGCCCTCCGGCTAGGAACTCACAAGGCAAAGCTTTCTTCCCAAAAGTTCACCATTCTGGCTGTTGCATTTAAGGCCTTCAGAACAAAAATGGTGTAAAATTTTGCAGCCAGATTTGGAAAACTTACTTTATCTGTTGATTCCTGAGAGGAAGTATAAAATATGGGGGAAATTAGAACCATCTACTGTAGCCACAGGGTTTTTTTTTTTTTTTAGGAGATAGCAAAACCAGAGAGAAAAGAAAATGAGTGAACTAAACCTTATTCTAAAAGTCTGACTTCGTTACCTCCTAGAGAAAAAAACAAGTTAGGCATAATAACGTTTTCTGAATTACTTGCATGCACAAAATGCAAACCAATGAAGGCATGATCAATTAGGTGATCTGTAGCTATAAGAATATAGAAAAGACAGAAAACAAGTTAGAACCATGTAACTGTAGGATCAATGAGTATTTAACAACTAAATACTGGCTTAAAATGTGTCACTACTTCAAATTATTTTGAGTTTTTCTATGTGGGTGCCCAAGGTTTTTAAGGTTGACTAAAAAAACAATGAATTAATAATGACATGATCCAAAGATAATAGACTCTGAAAAACTATCAGAGAGATCTTGATATTGTTTACAACAAAATTTCGCTTCTCTGCTGTTAACCAGATGCACTACTTTAAACTTTAAAAACCTAGTGTGTTTTAATAGTAAAATTGACTTGATTGGTATGATCAAATTTTACAATTTTAGGTAAAAATAAATTTAAGAAAGACCCATTCAGATTAAACAGCTGTTTCACGAGTTTGTCCTGACCAAAAGATAGCAGAAGTTACAATATTTAAAACCTTGGTAAAAATTTAGATTATGAAATACAGAAACAATTTGGAAACATGGTCTCAAGTGGTCTTAATTTTGCTTAATGAAATATAATCATACTCCTTTACCAGGCATATTAAACAGAGAGAAACAAGATATAATTAGAACGCAAAGAACAGGAAGCAACACTTTTCATTGTGATCAAATAACAGATGTATGAGGGCAAAAGGCCAAGCATCGCCTTATAAATAAAAATGTACCAATGTACCAAATGCCTGGTGAACAAGGAAGATCATCCCACTCTAGAATAAAGTTCAGAATGATGAGTCAAGGCTCTACAGTTTGTTATGAGCCACTGAGAAGCATGATAAGTCAATCTTATATAGACATTAAGCTAAACAATTCATGTAAAACAAGTCTTCACAATTTAAAACATACATAAATGTTGTGCATATAAGCCGCTTTTTTTTTCTCAAATGAAAAACAAGCTTTATTCTGAAAGAAGCCCAGTGTAACTTTAATTTTTATTTTTTTTTTAAAGATTGTCAATACAAGGCTGAAAGGTAAGAGAGTCATCAAGTTTGCCTCCAAGGTAGTTATAACATGAACCAGCTGGATGAAGTTTTTCCTTTAGAGTAGACACTGTGGGCGGAGCTACAGGAACATTCTTAGTGTTTTAAAACAGCATTGGTTTAGTCTTGTCAACAATCAGGACTAGTTTTAGCTGCTAAAGTGTTAGCTGGATTACATTAAAATGCTTTTTGTGAGAAAATGAATGTGTGGTTAGAGCTAAACGCAAATGCAGAAAGGAAGACATAAAGATAAGTAAAAGTTCAAAGAACAAAACAACAGGAGACAAGATATGCATGACCAATGTTCTATAAACGTTGACTGTAACTATAAACCAGCAATTCAAAGGGTATGAAAAAATATCACAATCAATAAAACTAAAGCTTTGTTATGGATGGTTTTACACCTCACGTGTCTTTACTATAAAGTGTGTATTATATATATATATATAATTATTTTAGAACTGTAAATACACGGTCACGTGTTTATATTACTATTTTTTTTTTTATTTATTACCGTTTTCAAGGCTGCACTTTAAAAAATGAAATTGTCTAGAGCTGTTTTAAATGAAATTTCTTTTAGTATACACTCATGTATACGAAATGAAAAAAAAAAATCCGTCTAATTCTAAGTATATTTTTGCTGTAACATCAACTCCACCATAAGAAAACGAGAAATGGTTATAGATCTTCCGTTTACTGACGTTTTACCATACCCTTGTCAGAATACCTGCAACTTCAAATAGTATTTTTTTTAAGCGCTTTGAAGCATAATTACCACACTCCTGACTTATTTTTGTTTTAGTTTTTTTTTATTATGCTATTCAAACTGTTTTTTAGCTTTAAACATATGAGAGTAATGACTACCCTCAGTGATCTGTGGCTGTGCAGCTTGTTACACAACAGCTCTGAAGTACTGGGTCTTTTGATGTCTTTCTACTAGAAACAGCATTTTGCATCTTCAGCAATTTCAGATACAGTAGCTTCTATGTCCACCTTTGACTGCTTTGGATAGATACCGCCACTGCAGACTGGGCTCACCCAGTCTAGAGCTAAAACAAGGAGTACTGGATGGTCTACTCACACAATTGGCTTTCAAGAATCTGGCGGTTACCCTTTGGAAGATCCAGAAAAGTATCCTGCTCCTCCCAGGGGCAGCACCTTTTGGTAATTGGAGCTGCCACAGCTCACACCATATCTCCAGCCCTTATCAAACCGATTAAAATTCTTTGGCTTTCTTATTCTGTCCTACAGCTAAAACAACAACAACTTGTGGAGCAAAGTGTTCTCTTTGCTGTCTTATATATCCCTCATATTAAAAAGCACACTTGCTAAAAAGACATGCAATATTCCCCTTGTTTGGTGTAGAGATGTTGTCCATATACACTATATTGCCAAAAGTATTTGCTCACCTGCCTTGACTCACATATGAGCTTAAGTGACATCCCGTTCCTAATCCATAGGGTTCAATATGACGTCGGTCCACCCTTTGCAGCTAGAACAGCTTCAACTCTTCTGGGAAGGCTGTCCACAAGGTTTAGGAGTGTGTTTATGGGAATTTTTTACCATTCTTCCAGAAGCGCATTTGTGAGGTCGCACACTGATGTTGGACGAGAAGGCCTGGCTCTCAGTCTCCGCTCTAATTCATCCCAAAGGTGTTCTATCGGGTTGAGGTCAGGACTCTGTGCAGGCCAGTCAAGTTCATCCACACCAGACTCTGTCATCCATGTCTTTATGGACCTTGCTTTGTGCACTGGTGCACAGTCATGTTGGAAGAGGAAGGGGCCAGCTCCAAACTGTTCCCACAAAGTTGGGAGCATGGAATTGTCCAAAATGTCTTGGTATGCTGAAGCATTCAGAGTTCCTTTCACTGGAACTAAGGGGCCAAGCCCAGCTCCTGAAAAACAACCCCACACCATAATCCCCCCTCCACCAAACTTTACACTTGGCACAATGCAGTCAGACAAGTACCGTTCTCCTGGCAACCGCCAAACCCAGACCCGTCCATCAGATTGCCAGATGGAGAAGCGCGATTCGTCACTCCAGAGAACGCGTCTCCACTGCTCTAGAGTCCAGTGGCGGCGTGCTTTACACCACCGCATCCGACGCTTTGCATTGCACTTGGTGATGTATGGCTTGGATGCAGCTGCTCGACCATGGAAACCCATTCCATGAAGCTCTCTGCGCACTGTTCTTGAGCTAATCTGAAGGCCACATGAAGTTTGGAGGTCTGTAGTGATTGACTCTGCAGAAAGTTGGCGACCTCTTCGCACTATGCGCGTCAGCATCCGCTGACCCCGCTCCGTCAGTTTACGTGGCCTACCACTTCGTGGCTGAGTTGCTGTCGTTCCCAAACACTTCCATTTTCTTATAATACAGCTGACAGTTGACTGTGGAATATTTAGGAGCGAGGAAATTTCACGACTGGATTTGTTGCACAGGTGGCATCCTATCACAGTTCCACGCTGGAATTCACTGAGCTCCTGAGAGCGACCCATTCTTTCACAAATGTTTGTAAAAACAGTCTGCATGCCTAGGTGCTTGAATTTATACACCTGTGGCCATGGAAGTGATTGGAACACCTGATTCCAATAATTTGGATGGGTGAGCAAATACTTTTGGCAATATAGTGTATGTCATTTAAAAACACTACATATTCAGTTCTTGGTATCTCTTAAGATAATCATGGACTTTAAATCAAATTAAAAAGGAGATGTACAAATGCAAGTAATGGATGATAGGGAGTTAAAATGTTTGCCTATTTAATGGACTCATCATTTTCCTTTCTTTAGGGTCGACAGGGGAAGGGCAACATTTTTGTGTGGGCATCAGGCAATGGTGGAATGCAGCAAGACCACTGTGGTGCAGATGGGTATGTCAACTCCATCTACACCATCGCTATCGGAGCGATCACTCAGGCCGGGAAGCCCGCCTACTTTGGTGAATCCTGTCCTGGAGTGATAGCAGTAACCCTGACTGGGGCCAGCAATGGAATCTCACTGCCTTTGGTTAGTGTGTCAGTATTTTCTAGTACAGTATGTCTAACTGCAGTATTTCTCAGAAATTTTTGTGTTTGTGAACTAGCAGCATGACTCTTAGGCTGCTTTGAGCTAAGAGAAGGCTGTTAAAGAGCAGCCACTGGTGTGATATTTATCAAGGTCTGCCAAATGACCTAGGTGATTGCTGGGCACACTCACAAAGACAAGCAGAAATGAGTGTTAATTGGAGGTAAAGTGTGGCTGTAGTGGCTGAGAATGGAAGAGGAAGGAGAAGAAGTGTTGATGGCGGATGTAACACTAAGAATATATGAGAAAGATGTTGTGGCCAATTTTATCACTGCGTTAACACTCCTCTCTATTGGGATCTAAGCAGTTTTAAAACTGCATATTTGTATTGGAAAACATATAAAAAGTTTGTTTATTTTTAAATAATACTTTTTCATTTGCCACTAACAGGTGGAAGGTATTACAGACACACTTGTCCTCTGTAAGAAAATCCAACTGCAAGGAACATAAATCATATAGAAAAAGCTTAAATTAGTAAAGTAGTAATCTTAACTATAATCTCTACCTGTTACCTGGATTTACAATTTGAAAAAAAATGAAGAGTTTCTGCATATTGTGTAAAGTACTCTGAATGGTGTTTGACTATTTCGGATATTCCATATATAATTGGTCCAAGCATTCAGCATGATACCCATTATTGTAGATGAATTTTTCAACCTTTTTGCCACATTCAGGCTTCAAACATAAAGGTCTAAAATTATTTTATAAAAGAATCAACAACAGGTGAGACAAAATAATGAAGTGGAACGAAATTTATTGGATATTTAAAAACTTTTCAACAAATAAAAAACTAAAGAGTGGGATGTGCAAAATGAATCACCCCCTTTACTTTCAGTGCAACATATTCCCATTATCAGTTCGTATGAAATCGTACGAAAAGTTATGCACACTATTTCGTACGTTTTGGATGTTTTTCCTCAAAAAACCAGATCAGTGCGCATGCGCTGGCAGACAGAAAAAAAAAGCAGATCCGCGGACGGACATAAAAATGGGAAAAACAGTGCAATCATCACTTATGATGATTGCACTGCTACTTTCCGCGCCGACAGAAACAAAGAACTCAGCGGTAAGAGCCGAGGAGGCGGACTCTGTGTTTACATCAATAACAACTGGTGTAAAAATGCTAGAATAGTCACAAGTTTTTGCTCTCCGGACATAGAGCTTCTGACTGTTAGCTGCAGACCCTTTTACCTGCCCAGAGAGTTCACTGTTGTTACCATCACAGCGGTGTATGTCCCCCCCAGCGCTGATACAAAGGAGGCCATGAGTGTTCTCTATCGGACTGTCTCTGAGCTGCAATCTACACACACAGAGGGCGTTTTCATCATTGCTGGAGATTTTAATCAGGCGAATATGAAAACTGTTCTCCCTCATTTTTATCAACACGTGGATTTTGCTACTCGAGGCGGACTCTGTGTTTACATCAATAACAACTGGTGTAAAAATGCTAGAATAGTCACAAGTTTTTGCTCTCCGGACATAGAGCTTCTGACTGTTAGCTGCAGACCCTTTTACCTGCCCAGAGAGTTCACTGTTGTTACCATCACAGCGGTGTATGTCCCCCCCAGCGCTGATACAAAGGAGGCCATGAGTGTTCTCTATCGGACTGTCTCTGAGCTGCAATCTACACACACAGAGGGCGTTTTCATCATTGCTGGAGATTTTAATCAGGCGAATATGAAAACTGTTCTCCCTCATTTTTATCAACACGTGGATTTTGCTACTCGTGGAGAGAACACTCTGGACTTAGTTTATACAAACATAAAAGACGCATTCAGAGCAGCCCCCCGCCCCCACATCGGCTCCTCAGACCACCTTTCTGTGATGCTAATTCCTGCATACAGACCCCTGCTGATCAGAGCAAAACCTACAGTGAAGCAGGTGAGGGTCTGGACGGAGGGGGCCATGGATGCACTCCAGGACTGCTTTGAATGCTCTGAATGGGACATGTTCAAATCAGCAGCAACATATGACAACAAGATCAATGTTGATGAGTACGCCATGACTGTTTCAGCCTACATCAACCACTGCATCGAGGACGTCAGCACAACAAAGACCATCACCACCCGAGCCAACCAACGGCCCTGGATGACTGAGGAGGTCCGCCACGCGCTAAAAGCACGGAACTCAGCCTTCAAGTCTGGTGACAAGGAGGCACTGAGGACAGCTAGAGCCACCCTGAACCGTGCCATCAGGTTAGCAAAGCGGAACCATAACCAAAAAATCCAGCATCTGTTCCACGACGCCAACAACACCAGGAGCATGTGGCAAGGCATACGGGCGATCACAGACTACAACACGCCCCCTGCCCCGGTGGATGAAGTTGATGCTGACTTCCTAAACGGACTAAATAACTTCTTTGGGAGGTTTGAGGCACTAAATCGCACTCCAGCAGTGAAGGCTGTCCCACATCAGGAAGAGGAGGTTCTCTGCCTTGACACAGCCGACGTGTGGAAGACTCTGAGGAGGGTCAACCCGCGGAAGGCCCCAGGTCCCGACAACATACCTGGGCGGGTGCTCAAGGAGTGTGCAGGTCAGCTAGCTGGTGTCCTCACGGACATTTTTAACACCTCGCTGGAGCAAGCCACAGTGCCAGCATGCTTCAAGTCTGCCTCCATCATCCCAGTGCCAAAGAAACCTCAAGTCACCTGCTACAACGACTACCGGCCCGTCGCACTGACTCCCATCATGATGAAGTGCTTTGAAAGGCTGGTAAAGGAACACATCGTCTCCAGTCTCCCCCCAACACTCGACCCGTTCCAGTTTGCCTACCGGCGAAACCGCTCCACTGAGGACGCCATCTCCTCTGCTCTTCACCTGAGCCTGGCCCACCTGGAGGAGAAGAACACCCACGTGCGGATGCTGTTCCTGGACTTCAGTTCAGCGTTTAACACCATCATCCCACAGCACCTGGTGGGAAAGCTGGAACATCTGGGCTTCAACACACCCCTTCGAAACTGGCTGCTGGACTTCCTCAGCAACAGACCTCAGTCAGTCCGGGTCGGTCAGAACACCTCTGATGTCATCACCCTCAGCACGGGCTCCCCTCAGGGCTGCGTCCTGAGCCCCCTGCTGTTCACCCTGATGACATATGACTGCGTCCCCAGGTTCACCACCAATCACATCGTGAAGTTTGCGGACGACACCACGGTGGTGGGCCTCATCAGGGACGACAACGACCGGGACTACAGAGAGGAGGTGGAGCAGCTGGTGGACTGGTGCAGTGAAAACAGTCTGATCCTGAACGTGGAGAAGACGAAGGAGATCATCGTCGACTTCAGGAAAAACCGCCCCCACCATGCTCCACTGCTCATCAACAGCTCAGCTGTGGAGGTGGTCAGCAGCACAAAGTTCCTGGGGGTGCACATCACGGACAACCTCACCTGGACTGTAAACACTTCATCTCTAGTGAAGAGGGCACAGAAGCGCTTGTACTTTCTGCGGAGGATGAGGAGAGCCCGCCTGCCCCCGCCCATCCTCACAACCTTCTACAGAAGCACCATAGAGAGCGTTCTGACCAGCTGTCTCTCTCTGTGGTGTGGAGGCTGCAGAGCTTCTGACTGGAAGAATGTGAGGAGGGTGGTGAGGACAGCGGAAGGAATCATTGGGGCTCCTCTTCCCTCCATTAAGGACATTTCATCACAGCGCTGTGTGTCCCGAGCCCGTAATATCATCAAAGACCCCTCACACCCCCACCATGGACTGTTCTCCCTGCTGCCCTCTGGAAAGAGGTTCCGCAGCATCCGCTGCAGATCCACCAGGTTGTGCAACAGCTTCTTCCCCACTGCCATCAGACTGTTGAACCTTTGATCCACAATCCGAACTCTGCACCTATTGCACATTATCGGGCATCAAATGCTGCTGAACTTTTAACTTTTAGCCCTTTAAATTGTTCATCTCATTGTATTTTTCAATAACGCATTTTTTGCACAAATGCCATTTTGCACTGAACCACTGCAACTTGCACACTGTCTCTTATCCTCTGCACTGTTCACACTTTGACCACTGCTGCACTTTTTGTATTTTTCTATAACTCGTGCCATTTGAAATATCAATGCAACGTTCATAAGCTGTATGTAACGCAATTTCGTTCTGTATGCACCCTGTGCATACAAAATGACAAATAAAGAAGTCTAAGTCTAAGTCTAAGTCTAAGTCTAAGTCTAAGTCTAAGTCTAAGTCTTATTCATGTCTCTAACTACACTCACCGGCCACTTTATTAGGTACCCCATGCTAGTAACGGGTTGGACCCCCTTTTGCCTTCAGAACTGCCTCAATTCTTGGTGGCATAGATTCAACAAGGTGCTGGAAGCATTCCTCAGGGAGTTTGGTCCATATTGACATGATGGCATCACACAGTTGCCGCAGATTTGTTGGCTGCACATCCATGATGCGAATCTCCCGTTCCACCACATCCCAAAGATGCTCTATTGGTTTGAGATCTGGTGACTGTGGAGGCCATTTGAGTCCAGTGAACTCATTGTCATGTTCAAGAAACCAGTCTGAGATGATTCCAGCTTTATGACATGGCGCATTATCCTGCTGAAAGTAGCCATCAGAAGTTGGGTACATTGTGGTCATAAAGGGATGGACATGGTCAGCAACAATACTCAGGTAGGCTGTGGCGTTGCAACGATGCTCAATTGGTACCTAGGGGCCCAAAGAGTGCCAAGAAAATATTCCCCACACCATGACACCACTACCACCAGCCTGAACCGTTGATACAAGGCAGGATGGATCCATGCTTTCATGTTGTAGACGCCAAATTCTGACCCTACCATCCGAATGTCGCAGCAGGAATCGAGACTCATCAGACCAGGCTACGTTTTTCCAATCTTCTATTGTCCAATTTCGATGAGCTTGTGCAAATTGTAGCCTCAGTTTCCTGTTCTTAGCTGAAAGGAGTGGCACCCGGTGTGGTCTTCTGCTGCTGTAGCCCATCT